ACTGTATAATAGTATATATAATAAAAAAGGCACAACTGCCTCTACACTTTTTCCTAGAGGTGGGGACAGCCAGATGGATCTGAGGGCTCTGGTAGGGCAGCAGGGATTGAGAAGCTCAGAAAGGCAGCAAGGGGCTAAACCATTCAGAACTTTGAAATGATTTAAAACTAAAAACAAATTCTCAATTGTGAAAGGCTGGAATCAGCTATATGTTTGGCATTTCCGCTTTATAAATGATGTCTTATGATCAAATATTTAAAAACTTATTATAAATACGGCTCATATAAATATGGATCTGATGCTTTTCTCACACAGCAAAACTCAGATTTTGCTCTGGCTGAATACACCCCAAACAATAGTTCTTGAAAAATACTTAAAAGTTTAGCAAAATTGTAGCATTACATATTTACAACATAGGATTCTGTAACATAAAGTTTTTGGTTGTACTGTAAATCTATAGATGCTTCAGTCACAGAAGAATGAAGTTCAGGACCTTTACCACTTTATAAGTTGGGACAATATTTATTGATCAAAAGAGGAAAAGTCAAATAATTAATTGACTGATTTGAAGGCACAACGGGAGAGTTTGCCTTAAAGACAGATGTGACCTTGTCTCAGCTCTGATCACCTCCCATTGGAGAGCAGATCAGGAGCTTACTAAGAGTTGTAGGAGTGAAACTTAGCTACACACACTGACTCCTACGTTGTAGCACGAGTGTTACAAAACTCCTAAAAGCTGGATATAGCCAATGCATTAGAAAAAACTTTTACATCTTGACTATTTATAGGCTATATTAGTTAGATGTGACCACACAGCTGAGTGGTGGAGATGGTCAGTACTGTTATCCCTTGAGGATATGGTGTAAATGCATGTTTATAATGCATGTAAATTCCTCTCTGCATCAATGCACACATTCAGTGTTCAGAATTCATGATTGATGTAGGGAAGTAAGTTACTTGCACACAAATATAAAATTAGATGCAAGAGAATGACTGTGTTTCTGGATAGTGAAACAACACAGAGGGGTCGCCAATGAAAAATGCTGTAAAGAATAACGCCAACAAATGTGCAACCTGCCATATGGTGGCATCAGATTGGCACTTTCTGAAAATTCTGTCGTGTTAATGAATTCATGTTTTTATCGTGTCACACAAGCTTTTGAATTCCCACTAAAATTTGCTCATTTTTCAAAGGAGCAGATAGGGTTCACTGCTGTACAGTGTGCTGCGACAGCCTAGCATTGTTCACACATCCAGAAACATGCTGGATGCAGCCGCCTCTGTTTGCAGTGTTGCCTTCCTTCACAGCACCCAGATCTGTTGCCAAGCAACCCACATAGAGGCAACTAATAAATGATAGGTCTTCACTGGTGAAAAAGAAGTATTATTATACAAAGAAACAACCCGGACTTACTGCATATTTCCTTTTTCCCCAGAGTTGACCTATTTATACTGTATGTCATACTTTTTTGATGTTATACTATGTCATTTATAATTAGAAAACCACTTAGACAAAAACACTTGGTTAGTTGTTATATTTTACAGCTGGGGTTTATAATCAGGGTTAGAAAATGTAGACAGCTTTCTCCAAATGGTTAAAACAAAATAACCTTTTGATGTCATACTGGTCCAAACTATAACGATCTGATCCATAAAGTCATACCACCATAACTATCAATTTTTCATTTTTCTGAATTTGTATCATGCATTTACATTAGGTCCTAAAATAGTTGGCAAAACAAACTTAAGAAGGTCCGTTCAGTAGCTGTTCTGGAGCTTTCGATCATATCAAAGAGTCTTCTTTAGCAGATGGTGTTTACCCTGGTTGTTACAGAACTGTAGACACAACTTTGCGTGACACCATGAACCTTGTGGTGACACTCTTCATCAACTGCTGTTTCAAACATCAAGGATTAGCTTTCAGTCTCAAATAAAGTAATTAAATAATTAAAGAAAATATATTTTGAAGCAGCATCTGTGATTCAGGTGACCAAAGTTGTATCACTTTACTACATTTTTGTGACATGGCAAACAGAATGGCACCCTCCTTGCTTTGCCCCAGGGCACTTAGTGAACATTCACTGGCACTAACCAAATATACCAAGAACAAATAAGGTTAAATCATGAGACTATTTATTGTTACTGTCACTAAATCCCATGAAAATACCAAAATGTATTTATACAACTATTTCAGTCTGTCACTAAATATTTCCTGACTACACCCTAAAGTATCCTAAAACATCTGGGCATTGTAGTTCTTAGCAAATATGATTAAAATCAGAGTAGAAATTGTATTTGTTGGGGTATTTTCAGACGTTCCAGCTGAGTTAATTGCAGCAGCAGGACAATGTATGTGGGACTGAATCAAAATAAACTACAATGCTCATGCTCACAGTAATGAAAAGGCTTGTCACCCAGTGCAACAATGTGGTGCACTATATGCACAGATGAATAAGCTATATCAGGCTTTGGGTACATAGTACTTATTAGGTGGTTCGGTTAAGTGCTGGTTTTGTGGTGAAATGACTCACTGATGTTAGGCCTTTTAAAAAAGCATTTACAATGTTTAGTTCATAGAAACAGTCTGCATGTGACCTAGCTGTCTTACCTCCAGGGATGAAGGGTTTGTAAGGGACTGCAGGGGCTGCAGGGGCTGCATGGGCTCAGGAGGGTTGGGCTCTGGCAAGTGGGTGACAAACTGTAAGGCAAGACATGTTCACATGGGTTAGCAAGCTGATTCAGCACCTTGGCACACCAATATCTGTCAGTCAGCAGCAGAGTTTTGATCAAGGGTCATAGGTTGACGTCGGCCTCTCATTGACTGATATCACTAGCTGATGGTGACAGACGCTCACCGTCTATCTGCAGGTTGATGCTGCTGCCTGTCTATAAGCAATGTTTGTTACAGGGTGTGGGGATACAACTAACTGGCCGATATACAAACTCACCTGTGCTCCTACACCGCAGGGAGTCAGCAGACAGGAAGTTTCCATGTCCAGCACATATTTAGAGAACATGTAATAATGGCTGCAACCTTTCAGAAGCTGCAGGATGATGTCTGTGTTCTATAATTAATCCAACAGGACCATGTCTAAAAATCCTGAAACTGTACTTTTTAAAATGAATTTTGTCTAGCATTTCTTAACATACCATTTTGCATCAAAACATGCATGCTCAACCATCCAAAGGTCTGTTTCTCACTGATGCTGAACCAGCGCATAAAGCTGTTTTCTATTGATTTCCCTGCTCAAATGTAAGGTCTGCTATTGTCTCAGTGCGGCAGACGCTCCTCAGTGCTAAACACAGCATCAGCTACCAAAGCACTAATGAATGTGTTGTCATAGTAATGCAGGGAGGGTGGCAGGAAAAACAACTCCTTGCACAAAGACTTCTCATTCTGTAATGTGTCAGCTCATAATTACAACACAAGCAACATTACATTACACTGTCGCTCCTCTTGACATATTTTTCTTCCGCACCCCTAAACCAAAACCCTCAGTGTTGCTTAAGCGAGTTATCGTCTTTCATTTACATTTACATTTTGTTGCTAATTCATAGACACTCCTATTCAGAGTGTAAAGTGAGTAGAAACTTTGCATTTCTGATTGGCTCACATGTTCAGGTCATCCAGAGACTCTGACATCAAGTGCTGTGGCAACTGTAACCTTTTAATAGCGAGACGGCTGCAGAATTGTCTTTACTGAAAAAATACCTATCATTGCAAGGAATTTATAGCTTTATTAAGAATAATTGACTTGGTCACAGATATTTTAGTCCTATTTTGGTCTTTCAGTGGCATATCATTTTTAATATAGTCCATTACAAAATCACAAAATAAGGATGTAAACCTGGAAATAGGAAACTTGCTTTAGAACATCTATTCTAAAGGTCTTCAAACAAGGCATTTTATCTTATAAGAAGTTTGTTTCTAGCAAGTTGTGTACCTAAACACTTGTAAAAAATAAATACAACCAAAAATGTTATGCCATGCATGTAATTTTTTTACTGCCAGTGATTAAAGAGCCAATCCTGAACCATAAATGCCACAGGTTCGGTTCACACAGATGTGTGTCTGGACGGATGCATCTATCTGAGCTCCTCCCTGTTCAGTCTGAAACCTCCTCTGTATCTCTGTGCGGGAGATGCAGCTAAGTGCCTAAAAATGAAAATGAAGTGACAGCAGTGCATACTCTGCTGAGATGATCCACAGTGGAGGCAGACAGATGGATCAGAGAATGGGGATGTGAGCGGGAGCTCCTACGCCTTATGGATCTGCATCCAGCGGGCAACAGGCAAAACCCCCACCCCTTCCCTCCCTCCCCACAAACAGGTTACATTCACTCTGGAAGAAGAGTGGGCGCACATAAGACCCCAGCCATGTCCTCTGATGGAGACAGGAATCACAGGTTAGCAGTTATAAAGAAATAAAATATCTGTCCTCCCATAAACTGACAGCCATTTCTTGGTGCTGTGAGGGGGTGTATGTGATTCATGCAGGAATTGTGGAGTTAAAAAATTATACAACAGAGCTGGGAAAATAAAAACATCATGAAGACATGATTCACACTGACCACTTACATGCAGCCTACATCTGAAACTAAGTGAAACATTTAGTATGATTAAAGTAAAAGATCTTGAACAGTGATGAAGGGAAAGGAAGAAGTAATCCTGCTATATGAACTGGTTAAAACTTTAGAAAGAAAAGCACCTCTGGCTCCTCCTACATGTTTCCTCTTGTTCCGGTAATTTGGTTTTACAAGTTTAACCTGCCTGGAACTGTGCAAACACAGTTACAGTTCAAGGATGGAAAACTGGATTCATCTAAAATGGCTTAAACATTAACAGGCAGACACGAACACTACCAGTTTTTATAATACTGAGAATAGGTTATGCGTGTTTCATAAGAAATATACAGATAAGGCTCTTGTAAGTTCTTTTAGTCCTCTCTTCAAAGTACTCGAGTAAACTAATAAAGCCTTAAGCAAATGTCATCAACCTGGAAGAAGACATGAGGGACTGTTGGCATTTCCATTGGACTCGGTTGGCTGTTTTGGTCTCAGAGCTTCAGTGGTGGGTTTGTACTATATCCATTATGTTTTTAAAAAAAAGAGTCTGTGTTGACATAGGAGTACCATGGGGCACCATCACGACAACACAGCCACATAAATTCTAGTATCTCAGTCCAATTATATCTTAAAAAGACAACAGTTTCTCATGGCAGCTCGCGGTTTCACGACTGAACCAGGAGCAGAAAATAACAAGCAGAACTTACTCCAGAGTCAGAGAAGGGATCTTCAGTTTATCTCGCCTCGACTTCATACTTGCTCAACTCCAAGCGGCCACTTAGAGAGCAGCCCTCGGTCTCACAACCGGCATCCAGCCGCTCATCGCTGCGGTGGGCGACTAAAAATAACACCTTTAACAGAGTGTCGTTTTCCAGTGGCTTCGGCCGATTCCGAGGGTTTTTCTTGAGGAAAGAAAAACACGCAGTTACATCTAAAAACAAACGAGGCACCCTAGCAGTTTTGCGCGCATTGCTTCTCGTCCGCCTCCCAAGCGCACCCGAGAGCGACTGCCACTAAACCGAGGGAGCGATGGGTCACCGCTAACCTCCATGTGACTTGTGGGAAAGGATGGAGGGAGGAGGGGATCGAGGAACGGGGGAGCCTATTGAAGGGGGTGGCTAAATCAATTTCGGTGGTGGGTGGCAGTCAGCAGAGGTGAGGTTGGGTGAGTTCGGGGGGGGCTACACGGGGCTGAGATGTGATTCACAAACCCGATGATTCCCATTTTCACAAAAAGAAGAAAATCACTCTGAGGTCTGATCAGTTCAGATAGATGCAGAATCTAATCATGTGTCTTTTTCTATGTTTACACTGCCTCCTGTGTAATAACACAATGAATGACGGCTAAATAAAATGTCACCATAGCATCTATACACTCAGTCTTCCTCCTTGTGCACGCTAACAAAATAAAGGCCCGGAGACGTCGACTGGTAAAATGCTGGTCGTGATGAGGCTGGGGAATACCTCAGCTGAAAACCGTGACAGCTTCCGCCTCACTGGGTGCGCTTCTCACTCTCTGCCGCGCGCAGTGCGTGTGTGTACGACTCTGATTAACTCACTGCGATGGAGGAAGCCATTAATTGCACGGACAGTCAATTTCCCCGCTGGGGGGAGGGGGTTACGTAGGCTCCTCGGGCCTGTGCGCGCACGTGTGGACATGCGGTTTACACGTTTTTACATAATGCATTAAAAAGCTGATTTCTCAGGCATGTGTAGGAGTGTGTTCATGTGTTAAGTGTGTGTAGCTATGTGTGTGTGTTTGCAAGTGCATGCTTGAAAGTCTGTTCTATTGCACTTACACTGCATGTGGGTGTGTGGTTTTGTGTGGATCCAGTAGCATAACTGTGCACTCGAAAGTCAATTTATGAGCATCTAATATGGAAGTGTAGCTTATCGACGATAAAAATGTTTGAGAGGACAAACCAGATTTCGAGCACCAAGCCTCCTCAGTCCCAGTCCGTGGCTGCAAGCTCTCGAAATATGATTTGCAAAATGAGTAACGCTGTAAAATCGGTTTGTGAGCTCTCAAACCTCGTGTCATTGCGAGCCTGTGTATTATTGTACTTGCTACACAGTGAGGACTAAAAAAGTATTTATTTATTTATTCATTTGCTACAAAGTGAAGACATTTTTGGAAATTGGGGACATATTGCCCAGTCCTCACTTTCTGAAACAGCTTTTTGAGGATTATGTTTGTTTTTAGGGCTTAGTTTAGAATTAGTCTTAGGTTAGGGTTAAGCATTTACTTCTGATGGTTAAGGTTAGAGTAAGGGTCTAGGGGATGCATTAGATCAATGAGTGTCCTCACAAAGATAGAAGTACAAGTGAGTGTGTGCATGTCAGGGAGGAGAGTGTGTCACTATTTGCACCTCAGCTTAGTTTCTATGGATTGCCTGCATCTCCAGCGGCAACGGGTGACACTACTTCTTCCAGGTTGCTAGGGAGCTGGTAGCTGGTACTGGTTTCCCTGGTTGCTAGGACAGATGCTTGACCCAGTCCAACAGTACTGATCGACTACACACAGAGTTGTCTTTCTCCAGGCTGACTGAAATGACACCGCATATTGTTGGAATGATCAGCTTGTTAAATCCTGAACTTCCCCTAATCTAACTTTTACATTATGCATCATCCATTCTTATTACTTGTGGTAGTAGTAACAGTAGTAGTAGCTTGGTTTAAGTGGGGAGTTTGTTTTTTTTTTTTTTTTTAGCTCTGTTTCAGTATCTACCAACTCCTAAGGAAGCAGATACTTGAGTTGTTTTTTGATGCATGTATTAAACCAAAAACTTTTTATTCTAGATAAAACAATATGATTGTGCCAGTATGTACCCTATTTGTAATTCTAATATGCAGTAGGTGAACAATAAAAAAAAATTAACATTGCTAAGGTATCTATGCCTCCTGGCATCATAAGCCAACTTCTCTGTTAGCTAATTACCCATTTATGTATGTATTATTTTGTTAGTTAATCAGTGTTAGCTAGGGATTGTTTTACTTATAAAGGTGGTGAATAATGCAAACACAAAACATGAGTTTGAGTGCACCGAGGTGCTGCTGTCTGTTAAAGTATAAATGTGTTACTGTTGGGACCCTTTTGTGTCGAATTATACACAACATTATTCAGAGCTGTACTGTTTTTCCACCTTTAAAGTCCAGTCGAGTTACATATTGGAAGCCCTCAGCTGATATTTTGAGAGACAGACTGGTACTTCATTGTACAGCCAACATGAATTCTGAAGCACAGTGTTTCTCAATCACAAGACAAATAATGGGTCAGCAATCCCTGTGTCTGGACACCAACTGTAACCAATAAGCAGTAAAAGAGCATGATGTGTATGGTATCTGTAGTGTTGAATGGTAGGCAGTGAGTGGTGTATGATGATGGTGTTCCCATTTCCAGATGCCTGGTAATTGTTTTGTTAGAGCATCATTTAATATGAGCCTTGCTTTCTCTGTTACCATGGCAATAAGGGCTTTCCTGCTCTCCCCTGCCTGCCAGCCAGCCTGTGTGCCTCCTCCCATCTCTGCTGTGTGAGATGAAGCTTAGCTAAACATTCTTTCAACAAACGTCTCTCAGCAAATGGCAGCCGATATAGATTTCGGGCTAAATTTGTTTAAATCCACCAACAGTGAACTGGAGTGTTTTTAACTTTACATCATATTTTGTTTTGTCTTCTCTGCTGCATGTTAAAATAAAGAGTATGTTGTGTTACAAACTCCAGAGAACAATGTAAATGGTTGAAAGGACTTATTAACATGTCTTTCCACAAATATTTAGCACAAGGAATTCTGGATAACAAAAACCTGAGAAACTTGAGGCGGGACATTGTCGCTGCATCCAAAAATCTGCCCAGTGTCTTCCATGATTTAATTAACTTGCAAGAAAATAAAACATAGTTGCACCAGAATATAACAGCAAGATTAATGGCTGATGAAATGGACTTGCACAAAAATCCATGTCTATAAACTGAGCAGCACAGGAGAAAACATTTACTACAATAATAAAACTAAAGGAATAAAAATAAAATATTGTATTTATGTTGCCGAATAACAGAAACCAAAAACTGTTGCACAACAGGAGATGCACAAAGGAAATCATTTCAGTAAGTTGTGATGCAGGAAGTGAAATAGCATCACAGGGTGAGTGAGTGGTACAGTAGTAATGTGGTGCACGTTTCTGCATGAGTCTGTGAATGTGAGAGAAACAAGGAGGCACGTGATCACGTGTCTGAGGCTTTGCAAGTGAATTACATCATATAATTCAATCCACTAGATGGCACAGAAATACAGCTTTCACACAAGTAGTGAATATGATGTATGAGCGGCAGAACCTGCTCTTTTTGCTCACAAGCATTCATGTACTGTGTGATGGATGAAATGTGATGCCATCTGTAGCAGTACAGGATAGCAAATACACAGATATAATACATTGTGACTTGCAGCTGAATCATTATAAGGCAGTTATCTGTTAAAACCAAGTGTATTGCTCTTACTACTGCCTTAACTTTGATACTTTCTTCAGTGTAATAATAGTTTGTGTCATGACTCATTGGTTTGGAGTTTTCTTTTTCTATATGTTCCCTGCATTTAATAAACAACCACTGTTTTGTGATCTGCTCTCGTTGATGTCATTTCTATGTTAAGCTCCCACAAACACAAACCAAAGATTTCCTGTGGATGTTACATCACTTGAAAAACGTTCCCCCTGCAAACCATTAGAAGGCTTTTATTGTGAAGCAGCCACAGGAAATGACCACATTTGTTAGAGTTTAACTGTCAACTGCTAACTTGTTATTTGATGAAAAACCAGTGTACACAGTAAGATACGTATTTTGGACATTTTTTGTGTCTGGCAGAGTTATACATTTCTTAGCATGGTAATGGTTAAAAATCAGTAGTCACACAGTGAAGAGCTGCAGACAAATGGCACTTACACAACACCTTACATGCAGAAAACACAGATATCTTAGCTGTTTAGAAATTTAGCAACAGAGACAACACAAAGGAATCATTACTTAACAGTTTTTACAATAATCTTTTTTGGGGGTATAATTTAAAAAAATCAGTGTAGAGAAGAATATTTCCTTTTCATTCTTTCTGAAAGACAAACTATAATGCAACGTTCAGATTTACAAATACAAACATTTGTTATTTAAGTTGTGGATTTCATTTCAAAACACATTCAGCTGATTAAAGAATTTGCCCAAGTCCTCCAACATGGCTCACAGCGACAGAAGCTGCATCACATCACTTAAATGGTTGTGGGCCTTACAGCTGAGTCATTAGTTTTAGTGTTTTAAATCACGTGGTCTTCCTCTACGCCAAGTCACACTGAGTTTACGGTGCTGATACCAATGAAAGGCAGAGAGTAGGAGCTGCAAGGAAATTACCAACTCCATCAACCACAAAAACCAAGCATCCAGTCAACAAACTCCCCCCATGGTACAGTGACAGTGTTTTGTCTTAAAATCAGTGAGTTCAAAGCCCCCAACTTCCTCTGCTGTGGTGAAGGTGTTGCTGTGTATATGTGAGAATGTGGGATTGATTTTTTTTTTTTTACCAGTAATGCTATTAGAATAGCAATATCTGAAGTTCATAGTAACAGTCTCATCTTTGGGCAAAAAAAAAAAAAAAAATTCAATTAAATGTAGAAATCAATGTAGATTTTAAAAATACATTTTGCAACATTTAAAACTTTCTGCATTTTAACAAACCTTTCTTTTTTAGTAATTTACAAAGTAAGTTGTCCACTAAAGCAACACTCATTTAAAACAACACAAAACAGTAAACGAGAACATACGCTCACTGGCCACTTTATTAGGTCCACCTGTACAATTGTATGCATTTCAATGCAACATTTCCGCCTTAACATCAAGGACTCCGCTTGAGTGACACAGTGGATAAAGATTGACAGGAAGAAGACAATACGAAGAACTAAAATGTGCATTAAAACCGTTACCATTTCATGGGGTTTCAATTAAAAACTGTTCAACATAAGTGGAGCATTGTTTCTTGAAATAGAAACTGCTGTTGAATTCACTGAAGGTAGTTTTCTAATGTCTTTTTAAGTTAAATGTTAAAAGTTACTTGTCTCAAGTTTGAGCAACACTTCTAAAAGTCTGTTCACTCTGCAGGAGTGAGACTGAGATCGCTATCATGAAAAACCCCAGCAAACGAAAGGAAGCAATGTATAGTATGTCTAAGAATAGAGAAATATGAGGGGGTTTTATTTTGTATTTCAAATGAACTGCCAAAACAGGACTGTATAACTGTAAACTATGGCTTATTGGTTAAAGAACAGTTTCACCTCACCAGTTTGTATTTAAGACAAAAAACTATTTACGAGGTCTGCAGAAATTCAAATTGAACTAAATTAAAATTAAATCCCAAGTCCACTACATGGTGAGCTTTGAGACTGGGACATTTTTATATATTCTCCTCAAAAGAGGAAAGAAACTAACTTGTTTTTTTCTGAATTTATCGTCATCATGTGAGTGACAGCCTTTTCAGCTGAGTTCCTCACAGTCTGCACCACATGTCCATGAGCTTTTTTGAAGTCTTCCGTTGCAGGAGGTGCTTGTGTTGCTGTAGGTGGATATATCGGTGTTGGTGCAAGTTCCTGTCTGCAGTTTCCTCCTGTTTGACACATAAACTGGTGGTTGATTAGAAAAGCAAAACTAAAAAATTCAACTACTAAGGCAGCTCATAAAAAAATCCGTAAGCTACGAGACTTAAGGGCCATCTCTCCAGGCCTGCAAGCAACTCGACTCTTCTATCATGACTGACAACATCATCACAAAGCCCCTCGGGTTAGTTCTGATTATCACAGCTCACATGGTATTTAATGGTAAGCTGTCTTCTTCATGATTGATGTTTTACTCAGAGGTTTTATGGGTTTTCACTTGCTAGGGGTTAATGTTTACTGCTTTTTTTAATCTTAATGTTTTGTATTTCTTCTTTATTCCTTTAGAATCATATTGCCTGTTTTAAAAACATATGGTATCATTCCGTTAATGACACCTCTGCTTCCCCAGTATAATAATTTAATTCCAAAGTGATTGCATTTTCACTACAGATAGCAGAGAAAAAATAAACAAGCAATAGCTAAACCTAGTGGTGGCTGTCTTATTAGCCAGTTTTCATTTACCATTAACGTTTCTCTGTGGCAGACAGTGCAGCAGCAGGTGCAATGAAGTGCTGTAGAGCCCACAGATCAACAAATCAGAAAGAAGTTACTGAAACCTGGGCAGAAATGCAATCTCAGAGAGCAGTATCCACCCAGCTCGAGTGCAGTTGTGGCTTTTAAGCCATGAGTTATGTTTTGCTTTTTTATTGCATCCTCCCACTTATGCACATCTCTTTTGTCTTGATACAGGCCCCAGCCAAGCAAAGGTCACTGGGATCCTCGGCAGAAACATTACCCTTCAATTTACATTTAATGACACTGATATTCATAATCACAGCAAATTTGCAATTTATATAACAGGGGAGAAAAAGATTGATCAATATTCAGGGGGCAAACCTGGCCCAGGAGGGGGGATTTTTAGTATTTTCCCTAAAAATGCTTCCGTATTTTACCACATTACAAATCTTACACGAAATCAAAGTGAAACATATTGGGCCACTTTGTTTGTGGGCTCGGGACTCAGGGAAAGTAATACAGTGGAGCTGATCGTCCTCGAGGAAAACACAAGCAGCACAGGTAAGGTCAGAATGTGATTATAGGTTACGCTTTTAGCAAATAAGACCAATATAGTGACACTGTACAATGATCAGCCATAACATTATGACCATTTGCCTAATACTGAGTACACAGGAGTCAGTATGACAGTTGGTGGTGCTCGTGTCATTCTGCAGCTCACTGTGCATTTTCTGTGAATCTGTTTGCTTCCATAGTTCTACTGTTAGGAAGAGCGCAAATATGTCGACCATTCAGTGAAAAACTTGTGTAAAAGGAGTGAAACTGTAGTCGTGAGGACGAGTTAGAGAGAATTATTTAGACAAATTCAGCAGCCTCCCTGAAAGGTGTGATATCACTACTGATTGTTTCTCTTCATAGACACACAGTATGGTATTTCTCATTTTCAACCATTTTAACAAAAATTCAAACAAATTTAAATTTTCTGAAAAATTCAAATGGAATTTAAAAGTTTCATCTACAGTAGATCAACCTCATCATCAATGAGCCTTGGGTGCTGGTTCACCGTTTGTCCTTCCTCAGACCACTGTTGGTAGGTACTGACCACTGCATACCAGGAACACCCAACAAGTCCTGCAGTGTGGGAGATGCTCTGACCTAGTTGTCAGCCATAACAGTTTGGCCCTTGGCAAAGCCACTCACTAGAAAAAAAGTCAGAGTATCACCACAGTCATTAGGATACATCCTCTATATCTGAGCCTGATTTTAAAGGCAGTCTATCCAGGAGTATTTCTCTCTGTCCAAAAGTGGCAACCAACTGACAGGCGCATGTTGCCGTCCATGCTGCTAGGATGAATGAAACCTACTGAAGAAAGGGAAGTCTGAAAATAAGGCTTTGCTAGTTTGTCCTTTTTGTTGACAGCAAGAAACATATGGCAAAATAATTACTTTGAACTGCTACACATTTACTTTTGCTATACTGCTATACATTTACTGTACTATGTGTTCTTGTCAGTGCTAGTGAAAGTCACCTCTATCTACTGTTAAAGTTGGTCAAATGGTCAATTAGACAAGTGATGATACTATATTGTATTAGCTAAATCAAAAGCTACAAGTACACAAAACATTTTCCATTAAATTTGGTTAAATTAGTTACTGGCATGACACAACTTGTTACTGACATGGAAAAACTATCATTTTTTGCCGAGACACGAGTATGTATTTAAATGTTTTCCTTTTAACTCCCACAGTTCCTCCGATGCCAGCTAACATCACAATAATCAAAGACAGTGGAAGTTCCAGTTTCTTATCCTATCAGCTCGTCACGGTCCTTGTGGTTTTACCTGTAGTGCTACTTGCTGCAGTCCTTCCCTGGTCGATCTGGTGTCTCGTGAGAACCAAAGGTTGGGAAACTTACTTTACAAAAGTAATCTCCTTGTTTGTGTTTGTTTTATTTGTCTGCCATAATCGATCATTTGGGAATTTAAGCCTATTTTCATGCTGTAATCAGTCTGCACAAAAGACAGAAGTGTCAGCTGATTTTTTAAATAAAAAATATAGTGTCATTGTTTGACATGATATATCAGCATGTCAGGAAAATGAAAGGTTGAATACATGCTACTACTGGGACTGCTTTGAACTCAAATGGAATTAAAAGTCCCTATTTATGGCTGAAGTGAGTAGTATAGTCTCCATTTTCAAGTGAACAAAGTGATGATCAGAAGAATTATTGTTTTTCTGTGGAAAAAATGTGCAGTTGTGTGGTTAGATGCTGAAAATGCAAACCAGATTGCAGTTTCACATCCTTTTTATACATCTGATGATTCATTGCTTTAGAAAAGAAACCAGCCTTCAGTGCATGCAAATGTAAATGTATCACTGAGGGATGGCCGGAAAAAAACAACAACAAAGTATTTGTTCAGTATTATGAGTACACTTCAGAGACAACCCTCTCTGGCCTACTTTGAGTAGGAACACTGACACTGAAATATTTTGGCAGCCCCCATGGCCTCAGAAACCACATTTGACAATTTCCCCTGTGTGTGTACAAATGCAGGTTTTTGCTGACTGTGTTCCTGTATCATATCACGCTAACCTGGTCCAACTGTTGTCCACAGACAGTGCAGCTCAAACAGGGCATTCAGCAAACTCAGAAATGGTGGAGATAACCTGTGCTTTTCTGAATCATGTAGCTTGTTTACACATGATTCACAGATGATTAGAACATCACTTACTCTTTATAAGCTTGTACAAGTGTTGTGTTTGTGTATGAAAGTAACAGAAAATTAATGACATCAAACTTACTAACTATAATAGAATTAATACATTTCACTTCAATAAAACTTGATTTTGACCACTTAAACAGGCTTAATTTGCTAATCCTCACTATAATTCAACACAAAATTGACAGCTGTTAGATATAAAGTTGAATACCCTTCTCACAATCATCATTCATTAAGAAAACATCTGGAAGGAGGAGGTGATTAGCCTAGCTTAGCATAAAGACTGAAGCAGGAAGAAACTGGCCTTGCTCTGTCCGAAGTTCAAACTTTTGCATACCAGCACCTCTAAAACTCACCAATGAACAACTTATAATTTGCTTGTGTAATTCATACAAAAACATAAATGAAAACAAACAAAAAAAAAAAAAACAATTTGTGGTTTTATTGGAAGTTAAGTGTTGCTGGTCTCTTAAGTGTTTTCCTCATTTTGCAGTCCCATAGACATTTCCTTTTTCATTTTGTTTTGTCAGTCATTTTGACAGAAGGTCTAAATACTACAATATACATGAGCCCCACAGTGGTGGAAGAAGTACTCATTATTTACTTAAGTAACATTCAAAATGTTACATACTCAGCTCAACTCAACTTGACTCAGCTTTATTTGTATAGCATTCTTTTCTAGCCTAATAGCAACCCAAGGTGCTTTACATACAGCGCAAGCAAAAACTTTACTTACAGTAAGTGAAAGTACACAAGTATTAGCATGAAAAATACTTAAAGTACCCAAAGTGAAAGTGCTCATTATACACAATAGTACATTGCACATTATTGTATATCGTATTATTGGATTATTATTATTGATGCATTAGTGTATTCATCACATTTAATGTCACAGCTGTTGTTGAGCAAAGTTTACTACCTTTTACTGCCTTTGAAGTACTCCTGGGTAGCTTTAAAATTGCCCAAAGAGCAATATCTTACATCTTAAAGTGATTATGTGGTGTGACTGACTTAATATCTCACCTGTTTCCCTTCTTATACAGATGAACAACACCAACCACAGCAAAACTCTAATCCAACAGTACAGGTGAGAATGCTGTCATCACCTTTCACTTTTAAAGAGGCAGAAGTCAATAGGCCCTAATGCTCAGCTTGACTAAATGTCTTTGCAGGAAACATTTGAGGATATGCCTCCACCCTCACTGGTCTACAGCGTCCTGGACTTCCCCAGAAGACCCCCAGTAGTGTTGGATATTAATCCAAATGATACAGAATATGCTGCTGTCAGCTACCTCTCAGAAAAGAGACTGACGCAAAACTGAATGAAAACCTGCTGGGGTTGCTTGATTTGAGTAAAGGTTTGCAAGGTGACTTGTATACTGTATATATAACCTAAAATAGGTTTCCCATATGTTTTTGTAATGCAATTCTGAACTCTCCCAACCTGTATATGACTTGCTATAAATTACATACAAAGGAGTTTTCAGGGGGAACAAAACTTAAGATTTGATGTCAGAATCAATGCTCTGCATTGGTTGTAACTATGTAGGTGTCAGTTTGATTCTGGTGGTCGTGAGATTGAGAGAGTTCCTGTGGCAAACCACAAGCCAACACACATAATGACTTGACCGCTATCTTCTAAATAGGAAGTTGAAATCATTAGCAATAATTATACTTGTGACATTTTAAGATAGTGACATGTGTCAAAAGACATTTTACAATCTTGGGCCACTTTAATAATTAGGTACCTAGCTAATTAGTTAGATTAGCTGAACGATCTAGAACACAGAATTAGTTTGCAAGACTGTACAGGTCATTAAAAATAATAACTGCTGATAAAGCCCACTGTTCCCTACAGAAAACAACTGCTCTTAATTGAAATTGACAGTTTGGAACTATTTGAAGCTACACGAGGCCCGTGACTTGCTGCCACTTTTGATCTCTCAGTGCCACAACTCTTGTATCTTAATGGGTCTGATTTTGAGACAATGCCACCTACACCTTCCTGATGCTTTAAATATTCTCTCAGCACCTAATGTATATTGATACCCCACTGAAAATAGTCCCTAATCATGCACTGTTTATTCCTGTTTGAGTAACATTTGCTAAAAACAAAGGTGTTTAGGAAAATTACTGGGCCTTTTGTTAAAATAAAACCATGTATTTCTTCATTTTTTTGTTATCAAATATGATCTGAGTTGAGTGTCGCAGGCAGGGTGTAATTACAAAAATGTACCGAGAGATGGACTTTATTGGCATTTATTGATAACAAAAACACTTGAATATCCCAAGCCTTTTTCTTAAAACCACAGTAAAGCACAACTATGCGTAGTTAGCACTGATTCTAAATTTATAACGACCCCTATGAGGATGTGGAAGGATGTCATTTTTTTTTTATTTGGACAACGGTGGTGACCTTTGCTGTAGTTATATCTATGACTTGTTTATTAATAATGCTATCTTTGGCGTGTGGAGGTGTAGCATGTTTACCTGCTGCCTTTGGTTTGAAATCATCATTGCGTTTGTTACAGTTCTGCCTCATCACCTTTCCTTAATTTTTATCACTGTTTAAATATACAAAAATAAGGACCATGAGTGAGATGAAACAGGAAAATGATGAAACTCCATTTGTAGATGATCTGTTACCAGGTCAACAGTGCTGTACATTCACAGGTCACATAGGTATTAATTTTATTCACTGACAGTTTGAAACAATCACACCAGTTTACACACGCAACAACTATCTGACACTATCTCATAGCCATTTTCCACTGCATGGCTTCTAAAGTTCTCTTTTGAGGGGTGCTTACTGATGTTTTGATAAATTTTGCAGACAAAGTATCACTAGTTATAATTACCATGTGTTGTTACAGTATGTATTAAAACATATTATGTGGAGTTAAACCCACACAAGCTAAGTGTTAATAGCAAACAAGCAGGCTGATCATTCATCCTGGATGTTGCTTGCTACTCAGGAAGGAAAATAACCAGTAAAGTCAGTGGTTTTTAAAATAGGTGACCACAGTGACTTGCGGGCTGAAGAAATCTTCTGTGCTCTGAAAATCTCATTGGTAAAACAGTAAAAGTAAATTCTGAAATCAACCAAGGTACCAGGTTTCTTGTATAGCTAGGTGGTATCATTTCACATACTACTGAATGGTTCTTCCTGAAATGCACAAGTTGTTTTAGTGAATGTCAAAATAATACATTTTATTCTTTGCAGTGTAAATAATGTATTTTGTTCATCCCTGTCTAGAATCTATGTCTCATGTACTGTAAGTAACAGAAAAGGCTTTTTGTCTTGTTGACAGTGGTGCCTATTTGAGGCAGTACAAGCAATGACATAAAATGCACTGTACATTTCACTTATTATAAAAAAAGTTAAACACAGCTGTATGTTCAGGGTGTAACTCATCACTCATGTCATACATAAAATAGCCTGCTGCTGATTTCACTTCTGCCTTTGTCATGTGTGATTCCTGTTCTTCTTTATTTTTTCATGTAGTAGATTTTAGTGAAAGACCCCAGGTTTTATGTATCGCTAACACATCTTACAAAGCCTTCATCATGCAGCACTGAACCACCACACTTAAAGGGTCACACAGCTAATTTTTGTGCTTCTGTGAGTCTGGCTCAGGTAACTCACTTACACTATGACCCCAACATTTGTTTTCGGTGTAGCCTATGTGGTGTTAGCTCTCTGATGCTCTATGCAGGGTGCCAGGTGTAGATGCTAGCTCAGCATATAACACAGTGACAACTATATTTGTATACTGCAAAGGCTGTATAATAATAATTTTTAATTTTGCTTAGAGTCCCCAAAAAAGGCTGAAGACCTTGATGCAGTGTGGCTTATGGTCACTTGCATGAGTTGATCTGTTCTTTTTTTTTACAAAGGTATCAACCTATACTGGTGAAAAAGTCAGTCAGTTTCATTTCATGGTAAAAGTGGATGAAGCAGCCTACATAAGGAAAAAGAATCGTGCTGATTAAATGAGTGGCCAGACATTTTCTGTCATGGCCCAGACACATATATGAGAGTTTTTCGTCCCCTGAAAAGGAATCAATTTTCTTGTTTTGTTTCCACTGTCTGATGACTATAGAAAATATTCAATTCGGCATTTTATATGATCAGCAATAAGGCCACATTACACAAGAAATTACACACACAGTTGGATTATCAAGGCCCCAGACTTTCAGTGTGTGGTGGCTGTATTCAGTGTAAAATATTTTGGTAAAATATACAACTGATGCGCAGTATAAACTGAAAAGATTGTTTATTATCTTCATATTATGTTTATCTGATGCATATTGCTCAACACATTTCTATTTAATCTAACTGCCATAACCAAAATGACACAGAGCATATATGTACCAGGTAGAAATACTGCAGTGTTTCTGCAGCTCAAGGCAAAACACAATAAAGCTGTCAGTCTGCTGGATGCTCTGAATTAAAGGTGCAGCTCATTTTGCCCTGATCTGGCCTTGATCGTAAAGAGTTCCCATAGAGGAAGACAGTAATGCAACCCCTTTGAAAAATCAGATAGTATGGTTGGTTCACTAGCAAGGACCAAGCTCTTAGAGAAGGTTTAGAGAATGTTTATTGAGTGACTCAGGACAGGAGAATGAGAGAGGTTTTACTGTCAGAATAGTGACAGTGGTGTGGCTTGGGAAAAAATCACAACTGCTCCTGTGCCATATGTTCCAATAATCACTTTTGTCTGATAAGGCTTTTCCAACACAATATCTCCTACTTAACTGAAACAACCATTTATGTGCACAGAAGTTTCAGGTTTCCACATCACACTGAAAATTTGATGTTATCAGCATGTGTAGGAGGGAAGGCGTCAAGTCGGATGTGAATGATGTGATGTATCACTCAAGTGAGCTGTTGCTGCCTCCCACCTTTTTAGGGTAAAGATGGACTTCACTATTTTTTGTTTGTGTGAATGTTTGCTGCTGTTTGGTACCTGTTGCAATGTCACAAGCAAATAATGTGTTTGCACTTTGCACACCATAACACCCACCCCTATTGTAGCGAGGTTTCTCATAAACAAACCAAACCTCACTTTTTCATAACTGCGCTGCTGGGCGGTTGCATCTTCTAACCTACAGTAGCAACATTTAAATGATGACTGGAGACAAAGACAAACAATTCATGTGATGACAATATCCAACTTTTATTAACAGTAAGATGTCACTATATATGTCAATGTTAATATTTTATTTAAACATAATGTGTTTTCTAACCCTAAAAGTCTCCAAATTGCAGGTCTACTGCATTAACAGGAAGGCTGAAATATACAGTATGTGGTTCTCTTGCAATGAGCACAAACAAGAGACAATCAGTTCCTGACACTATGCACCATTTGTTGTGTTCTCCACCATTCTATCTTGCAGCAGTCCTCAGCATATTTCCACCTTTTACAATCCCCTGGGGCTCATTTATAACCACTGCATACGCACAAAATCAGACTTAAAACATGCACACGCCACTTCCCTTGTAAATAATTAAGATTTATAAATCAAACTTGATGCAAGAATTTGTGCACCTGTCAGTGCTGTAGTTCTCGAATCCAAGACTTGGACTCAAGTCAGGCTCCAGGCCCAGTTTTCAGGGCTGGTGACTCAACTTCAACTTGAGCATTAATGATGCAGACCTGGACTCGGACTTGAACACTGACTACATTCAGACTCAGGTGTTGGAAACTTGGACGATGACTTTTTTTTCTTTTCTATTCCTCTTTTGTAATAGGCCATAATAATTTGGCATAAGATACTAATACTAAAACCTGTTCACCTGCACTATGCTGTATCTGGCACACCTCCACTGAAGCGTGCACTTTGCCGTTCCATAAATGATTTTTATGTATCAAATTGTTGATCAGTATAGTGAAGACTTCACCCACCGCCATCCCAACTGGCTCCTAATGTGGACTTTGTCGTGCTGTGCACTACAACAATTATCTTCCTCCCTCGCTCGTGTCATAATTATTACAATTGCTAGAGGTCACGTAACAATAACACATAACTAACTGTTGGTTGTAATAAAATGCTGGCATAAGTGACAAATGGACCTATTTGTTACAGTAGAACAGTCGTGTCTCTTTGTAGATGTTTTTTTTTCACTTTGTGGTAGGTTCACATCCCTTTGTAGATGTTTAGTCTCCTTGCAGTTATTTATTCTGTTTGTGATTATTTCCCCCTTTGTTTTGCATCTGATTTTGGTTATTGTGTGTCTTTAATTGAGCTCTATGATTTTCAAACAAGAAATATTCAGTGGTAAGAATTTATTTTATTCTGCAAGAAGACAAAATGTTTTCAGCCATCTGGCCTTCATCAGTGTCCAAAAACATTAAAATGATTTTGTCTTCTCACAGAATAAAGTAAGTTTTTCCTATTGAGAGCAATCCTACTTTCACATTTACTGGATACTATTATCGGGATAAAGCATCAGTTCTTCTTGTGCACGGTGGAATCTCCACACAAAAAAGAAATATTACTAACCACTTCATGTAGATGTTCTGGCCAGTGGGCCCTCTGGATTTATGCCCAGTAGGTCCATTTGGTAATTTGTCCATGTGTCCACTGCAGCATTTTCCAAGTATGTTCTTAGCTGTAACCCCTTTAAAGAAAGTAACATCTACTAAGAATTTTTTGAGGCATGCAGAGGTGAAAGTATCCAATATTAAACTCCAAAGCAACAATATAATATTATCATTGTTATTATTACTCCTATATTATCATATACTGTAAGTCATTGTTACATTCATCACACTATTACTATTACTATTACAATTACTATTACTACTATAGATGTAAGATATATTAATAGTAAGACATTAACGTTAACGTTAAGACAAAAACACATTCTGGGTTGAAACCTGAGTGTTATTTAAATGACCCCTATGTATGCATAACCCTAATAATCAGATAACAGCAGTGCTGTAGGTGTGAGGTTAACGCTGATGTCCTGTTTTCCACTTGACATCAGCAGAAAGAGCAGCAAGTGCTGCACCGAATCTAAAAATGGAAAGGTTTCAACAGTCAACAAGGGAAACATATGTAGCTTGGTCAGAGCCAGCTTTCCCCTGATTGTTACTAAATGTTCTTATTTTCACTTCATATATTGCTCACATGAACACTTGATGTGTGGAAGTAATCCATCACAGTAATGTCAATAGTAACTGGGACACAAACTGCAGTAAACTGCAGTGTATTTCCAGAAGCACAGCTACTTCAAAATATGTAATAATAAATAAATAAATAAATAACACATTTATATTTGTCTATCATTTTCTGTTATGACACCCTTTGGAAAATAAAATTCGTTATGTATTCTTCTTATCACATAGCCTACAATTAACCAAAAAGCCAAATAGAATTTTATTGACTAACATTATCAGTAACATGAACTGCAGCTTTTTTCATTCATGTCTCATTAATTACTGCTGTAATTAACGCTTCATATTTGTCCTGCTGTACTGACTGTGAATCTACATGTTTTTCCTGTCAAGAGTCCATCCAGTTTGTGCTCACTGCTTTTTTATCTGAATAAATCTTGCTAACCCAAATTGTGCCAGAGTTACAAGCATCAGACCATTCTTGTTCCTTTGTGACTACTACATGAAACTTATTAATAGAAACCTCTTCAGAGGAAGTGAAGTGGAACTAATATCATCAGTGATGGCTATATTCCAGTAACTAATGCAATACCAAGCAGCAGGTTACATTGCTATTAATCACATCTGCAGTTTAAAGGTTTGTCCAACTTTAGTTTCACCTCAGGTTTTCTCTCTGCTAATGTACAAAGGCTATGCGTCCACAGAAGGGGGTAAATTCCCCATTGCATTAGTAGTATTTACAACGCAATCAAAATGTTTCTCCTGCCTTTTACTCGTGTTGACGTACAGATACGTTTCCCTTTTGTATTTGCATTTTCCGGTGAAAGTGTTGCAGTGGCGTTAACCATTTTTAATCTAGTTTCATACCTCTGAATTGCAGCCCACGCCATCAGCTTTTATATAGGAGAAAATGAATGTTAAAAGTGAAAACAAAATGGAAGCTCTATTAGGTTAACGTTTACTTAACTGGATCTCAAACAGTCCTGCTGCCTCAGACCAACTCCTCCATCATCCTGTAGAACAACCACAATCTAGCAGGCTGATGGCTATTTAATGCTGCTGCTCTCTACTTTTACTGTCCTTCCCCAGATACTTTGTTCTTTCTGCCTGGCTATGATGGAGGTTAGTCCACTGGAGGATCAAGCACCAATTATGATGCCCTCTACATGCCATTGCAGCTTTAAATGTGAATTAAATGCATCCTAGAAACAGCCTGTCTGCTTACAAACCCTCAGACTCTAACACAGTGGACACACAAACACAGACACTGCTGGAGTAATAACCTTCAGCACCAAAGAGTTTAAAGTAA